TAAATGCTGGATCCTTAACCTTGTCATTATTATATAAATACATTACTATACATTTTTTTTCTGTCTTACTTATTTCTTACATTGTTTTATTTTTTTATGTTAATCTGTCTTTATTTTTTTCTTTGTTCGCTTTATATGTATACATGTCACACTTTCTCATATAAATGCCATCAATGTTGATTAATATATTTTTCAGGGGGAGGGCCGATCGCTAATGTTGTAAGAACTTGGGCCCAACCCTTTTGCTATTTGTTATTTCGAAATCAATTTGTTTCTCTGTATATTTACATGTATATATTAGCAATAAAATATGATTAAACATATATTCTGAGAAATAAGATATGTTTAAACTAGACCTCTTCATATCTATTGAAAATGAAATAAGAGAAAAAGGTCATTATGCATCACATTCAAATAAATTTTCTTTCATTTAGGCAGGGAAATGTAAGTTTTATATCGTTAAAGTAGTCACTTAGAGCATATAAGATGCTTATAACCTAAAAAAGTAGCGTTGAATGTTAAATTATTTGCCATAAACCTAGCAAAATGTAAGTAATGTAGTATTTTGAATTTTATACAAAGTTTTAATCAAAACAACTGACCTATTGCAAATGGTAAAAAAGCCAATGAAAGATGATTCAGGGTGAATGGCCAATGAGTAACTTTTTGGAACCCATAAAAGAACAGAACATAAATAGTAAAAAAAGTTTCAGAAATAAAAGTAAAGGGGGTTTGTGGAGAAAAATTTGCCTTTCTGACACTTCTGTTCAAAATGAAAAACAAACAGTACAGTATAATCAGAACAATCTTTAAGTTATTCTGTTTGGATTCGCCCCTATTAATATAAATCATATCATTTATCATTATCACTTTAAGCCGGCCTAAAATTGGATAATTTATTTGTTAAAGGAAAAAAAAAGTTTTTAATTTCGAATTATTTGATTTATTCTTACTGACTTTTTCATGTTTAAATGTTTATTACCTTGTGACAACAATACGATAGTGCGATGACTCTATAATGGAATGGTTACTCGTTCGGTTAGGTAGAGAGTGGTCTTGTGTTCGTTAAGAAAACTAAAACAACATTTTTACATTGGTTTTAACTTTTAATATGTTTTCCAGCTTGTTGAAACTCTTTTATTTCTTCAAAATGCTTATCAGACTCACCACACATGAAAACCCGTTTTACGTGCTGGAACATGTTTGCCATTCTTGATCCGATATATTTTTGAGATTTTATATGTCATATTGTTTAATCAATTCTTTGCCTCTACTGTTTGAATGTTTCTTTGATTGTATCATTTCCTTATTTTTATCTAGTGACCACTATGCTAGTATTGTCAACTTATATTACCCGAGTCATTAAGGCAGGTTGACTGTATCGGATACAACCGTTTGTACCCGGTCGTATAATTTGTCAATATGTTTAGGATAACAAACAAATTCTTTAAATAAGTAATCTATATATGTGTAAAATTTATCGGTTAATACATTATATATCACAAAAAATATACACAATGTAATTAATTAAGCTTAACCTAGCCAATATACCTTATATTATACAATATATGCAAGAGAAGGTGGTGCATACAGAATAATAAAATGAATTCTAACATAAAGTATGATCAAGTGAAACAGAGATGTGAGAAATAATAATGAGTAGCCAATGGTTGGTGGTGGAGAGCACAGGGACCCAGCACAGTGTTGGGATAGTGTAAAAAAGTAATTAAAAAAAAATATATTGTATATATAATATATAGATAAGGGGTTGAACTCGCCAAATCGGCCGAATGCCCCTAGTCCAGTATAAGTCAAAATTGCAAAGTCATTTTTGCGTAAATTATATAAAGCTATATATCAAATTGCAGCTAAATGACATCACTAGACGTTGACAATAACATTACTGTCCTAACTTAAACCGTTTTTGAACAACAAACCGATATTTCGGATGAAACATCGTATTTTTGCTAGGTCGGACACAACCGTGCAACCTTTCAACACTCAATTTTCTACGTGTAAAAACGCAATTCCAGACCATGTCATTATGCCAACCCGCAATAAATCGATAAAACAAAACAAAATAAACAACTTACCGCTGGAAATTGTTCCAAAACCAATCAATTATAGCAAACATTCATTTCTTTTTATTTCTCTTCCGTCAAAATATTTTTTGAAGCCATGATACATACTCGGCAACGGTTGTAAGACATCGTTTGATTGGACGATTCTGTGACCCAGCAATGCTTTGTATTTTAATCAACCAATGAAATAATCCGTTTCAAATTGGTCACGTGATAGCCAATGGATGCTGATTACAACTTTCATTTTCACATTCGGGAATTAATTGTTTACAGACGCTATAAAACATTTTAAAAATCAATTTCCGGCGGTAAGTTGTTTCTTTTGTTTTGTATAATCGATTTATTGCGGGTTGATATAATGTCATGGTTTGGAATTGCGTTTTTACACGTAGAAAATCGAGTGTTGACAGGTTGCACGGTTATGTCCGACCTAGCAAAAATACGATGTGTCATCCGAAATATCGGTTTGTTGTTCAAAAAGGGTTTAAGTTAGGACAGTAATGTTATTGTCAACGTCTAGTGATGTCATTTAGCTGCAATTTGATATATAGCTTTATATAATTTACGCAAGAATGACTTTGCAATTTTGACTTATACTGGACTAGGGGCATTCGGCCGATTTGGCGAGTTCAACCCCTTGTCTATATATTATGTATAAAGTATAAATTTTTTTCTAGAATTACTTTTTTACACTATCCCAACACTGTGCCGGGTCCCTTTGGTGGAGAGGTGGTGGTTAAAAGTGTGCGACAATTTTCCTGAACTATGACGCCAAGGGGAGTAAGTCACTTTACATTCAAGATTTTGAAACCATAATTTATCTCACTTGGCAGAGACAAAATAGTTTGTATATAAATAATTTTAAACTTAGCATTTAAAAGTTTATATTGGATACAGAAAAGCACCAACGTTACAGCTTCAGACTACGTTTTTAACTCACTTGAGCATTTAAAAACAAAGCACAGAAGGCGCTGAATTTGTTTGGGTCTCAGAATGTGAAGGTTGTGAGATTATAAACCAATTTGTTTTTGTATAGTGCCACCAATGCTTTCTAGTAAATTGGCTTTAAAGCTGCACGCCTCCAGATGAGCAAAAATATTTCGATAAAGTCAAACCTGAGAAAAATGTACTAAGACTTTAGGAAAAGCATGAAGATTCAAAATTCTGGTAATAATTTACAAGTATTTATAACTACATTTCTACTGCGTTACTAACGCAGTTGACCTCTTTATGGTAATTTACATGGGTTGAAAGTGCCATTGATAATGTGTAAATTGCATTCTTTTGGTAACTCCACAATATTATACTTTTAAATACATTTTTAAATTTTCATAAAAATTAGTATCAATCTGGAGGCGTGCTGCTATAAGTCTAATTGCAAGACTGATAGTCAATTCAATGTTTATTTGATTAAAAAAATGAGTTGCCTCAACTGGGATTTGAACTCGTGACCTCTCGATTCATAAGCGAGCGTGCAAACCCCTCGGCCACGGCTGAAGAAAACCATATTATTCTAAATTAGGGTTTGTAACTCTCATTATTTCGACGCTAAACACAGATGTAAATAATCATGGAGCTTACTGTAAGCATGTATATCTGTAAAGAATGGAACAATATTAGAACTCTTCGATCATTCGGGAACTACTTTGCTTGAAAATTAATGCGCCTGTCAGTTGACAATCTTTACGCATTGATCTCCCCTGAATTTTTCGGCGTTAGTGTACATATAAAGGGAAGTAACCGCTGCAAAAAAGTGGACTACTTTAGGCATTTGCAATTAACAGCATTAGGCTCTGAAATTTCGCTACCATTATTTGTTTGGTCTGACGACCCAAACAAATAAAAATAGTATCTCCTCCTCAAACCTACACCAATTGGATGAAGCTATTGTAATGTTATAAAGAGCGTTTTCCCCTCGTTCAAAAATTAAACCAGCGAGCCCTGGTTAAAATTCCGATGCTCTCCAGTTTGAGCTAAGCGGACGGACCACAACAGGTTTGAACAAGTAAGACAAAAACAGGTTAGTGCGACATTCTACTAATTATTCTTGTTATATATCAAATACTGCCGTGTTTCATCATGTGTTGATGATTTTAATACTGTGAAATACAGTGTCAAAATCAATAATGGTTTTTCTATTGATAACAATGTTGTTAGTGCATTTTAGTAAATACTAATTGACAGATACGCTTCTGGCAGAAATATTCCGTACCTTTAAAATACGCTTCAAAATTAAATATAATCAGGATAGCGATATGCAAAGAGCTTAAGCACTATCACGATTTGTATACCTGTAATTATTTTCATTTGATTCCCTGACTTCTAAGACATTTATCTTGACTATTAAAATCACAGGTCTGCCATAATTTGCTTAATCTTTTACGGGCTCTATGGCAGCCAGGAATTTCTTTCTCCGCTCTATCAGGTCCATAACGTTCCCCCAATTTAGTAAAAAAATTGCTTTACCAAATGACCGAGTATTGCGCGAAATGTTATATAGCTATAATTTATTCAATAACAGTATTGTTATTAGTTTAAAGACTTGTTAAGCTAAAGGGTCGTGTTCAAATTAGTCTTTTGACGCCTTATATGTGATATGCAGGCTTAATAACCTGTAATTTGCCTTAAAAAATTCTATTTTATTTAATTCAGCCCATTTTTTCAAGTTAAGGACTCATACAGGGATGTTGCACTTACTCATTATCCCTCATGTACAGACTCAATCAAACCGAGTCTGCAATTCTCTTGTAATTTTGTTGTGATTAATGCTTCCGAAGGATTACTTTATTTTCCAGATTTTTTTTACTTTAGGGACCATACGCCTCTTCTCATTGAATGGGACGAAAGTGTCAAGTTGAATATGGCATGTAAACGCTCAGTTAAAAGTTCTAAAATACGGGTTTACATAAAAGCTCGAGCAAAACAAGGTTGTTTATTATGATATGCATTATCTTTTGCAACAATGAAGTATCTCATGCAACTGTTTCGTGCTGGATTCAACAATTTAGAAATCGACAAGAGTCAAATAAAAAGATGCCTATAAGTCTAGTAAAAAACGCTCAATATTTTTTTATTACAATATTAATAAAGTCAAACTTATCATTGACAAAAAGATGCCAGTCTTTCACTTTCCCAGATAACCAATATCGCAGCGATATAAAAAGGGCCAGCTCATGCGATTCTGATTAATCAGGTAAAAGTGAGGCGAATAACTGTTGTCCGTAGTTTTTCTGATCGCAGATCAGAAAATACAATGTTGACATTAAATCTCAGGAAGTTCCGAACAGCGCTTCCCGACAAACCTAACCACAAGTAGTTCTCAAAACAGCTTAAAACTAGCGATATAAAAGAAAGATATATTTTTATTTTGTTATACGTATCCAACAAATTACAACGAATTCAAATTTTAAAAGTAACTCTGGCTTATTAATAAATGCATAATCACAAATTACGCGGATGAATATCATTTTAATCAATGAAAATTGCTTGGCTATTTCCGTAAAGGTTCAGAATTAAACGCAAAATGAACATTTGTTATTTAGACTTTCTGAAAAATAAAGCAAGGGTGTTGCCTCGAGGACAGGGACGAATTTAGGGCAGTCGACGATCGATAATCAATTTCTTCCATAAGTAACGGTCTTATAAGTGACACCCGATAATTTAATCGAGGTTTACACAATGCTATTGTTAGCGATGTCGATTACCGAAAACTTCAGCGCGTATTACACAAATAAATCTGACTGTCGAGCATTGAAATATATACATGTCGGACTGTTTGGGCGGGAAGATTTTCGCTTAATTTTTTTTTCATCAATGTTCAACAACAGCTTAATCGTGAACAAAATACCTCCGAATTAAAAAGGATTACAAGCCTTTAAAAGGAAATTCTAAATTTAGAATTATTTGGTTTTATTTATGATCGTCTTCGTAATCTTCCCCGTGGTCCAGGGGTACCACGCTGGCTTAGGATGTGAGAGGTTTAGGGTCGAGGTAAAAACACTAACATTACTCGAATTAATATGAACGACTACAACAACATAATTGTAAGGAATAAAACAAAACTAAAAGCATACAAAAATAATGATTATGCTGTTATCTGATGTCGATGATAATGTTGATGATGGGGATGATGTGATCCTGAAGTTTATGACGATGATTATTAATATGATGATTATTATGATAACAATGACGATGATTATTTACTTATAATGATGATGATGATAATGGTGTGTATTATGATAATCATGGAAAATGTTAATATGACTATGTATTATTATATGATAAATCACATCAAAATTGTTAAACATACTCAAAACAGGAATGGAATAGTGAATAAATTATTTTATATTAAGGTACACATGTTATCTGTCTTATATTCAGCGCGCTGTAATACAAAGACTGAAGACATTGAACAAATGAAATGCAGTAAGCTAATAACAATAATAGTAAAATTTAAACAGTTTTTAGTATTAAGAATGTTTTGTTACTAATTATACTCATACGTAATGTATTACATATTTATCATTTGAACATCCGAAGTTTGCGATTTTGTATTTAGCTTCCAGTATTTTTACTTGCTGATTTTGACTTCTGATGATGGTGCCCTACATAAAAAGCCACGTTTCCTATTTCTGCATTTCCATTTGGGAGGACAGGCATCGTATTTTTCACAGTAATTCAAATCTGTGAAGGAAATTAAAAATGCATTATTCACGCAATGAGATGACTTTAGTTTATTAACTTAAAAACGTAACGATTTTATTTTCGTTTGTGTCACACGGACACGCACGCCCATACATACACGCACGCGCGCGCACGCACGCGCAACAAACACACACACACACACACACACACACGCGCACGTACGTTTTAGACACTGACACGTATTACTATCATTTACTTAAACTTGATTAAAAACTTATGTTTACAGATGTTTTGTTAACACATCAGACCATAAAACTTTTCTGTTAATTTTTTGTGATATGAAAAATAATTTTTCAGCACTACATGTCAAGGTCAAATTGATTAAATCAGTAGTATCAAACAATAATTTAATACGTTTATGCGCACATCTAAATTATAGAATGCTTACCACTCTCTTGTGAATCTGAGTCTTCAGACTCGTTTTCCTGTGTATCGTATAATGAAATGTGCCACGTCCCTCCACATATCTCGTCCTTATTTCCAGGACATTTGGCATTACACTCTGAACCATTTGGGTATTTTTTTATGTCATTCCCACAGAAACATTCCACAGTATACTGAAAAATATAGGGAAGTTTTAGAAAAATTAAAACAATTTCTTATGTGATTAGTTAACACCAGGCCCAAATTCAAGATTTTTCTCCAGAAGGTGTAACAAAATTTCGACGTGATAATGTATATTGAAGATGGGTTTTGGCATTTATTAGTTTTCCTAAGGGTGTTAAGAATAAAATTATCGCGTGGTCACTTTAAATATTAGTAATTGACCCCCTAAATATCCCTCTGGGTCTGACCACGGATTCATATCCAAGATATTTAGTTTTACCACTTGCAACTCGTAACATATTGCAAAAATTTTTAATCATGTCTTATAGAATAATATTTAAAAATACGATGAATGCCTCTCAAATATTCAAAAGGTCCACATTCTGTCTAATATAATGTCACCATCATTAACAGTTATATGTCGTCAATTTCAAAAAAGAGCTATTCATACTTATCTACCTCTGTTCCAGCATATCTGTATCCGGCAGCCTCGCATTTTTGTTTGCACTGATCGCCATTGTTGTTTGCTGAATTTGGCATTCGGTGAGACAAAATACGTTCGACTTTGTCTATATAGCATCCGAGGTAGCCCGATGGTACATAAACTGATTGCAATATAAAAGAACAGACAAGAAAGTTATAAAACAAGGGATTTAATTACGTTTTGTGAACGTTACATGTTTCTTATGTGCACGCCCTTGTTTTACTTGAAATATGCAAGAAATGAATACTAGATTATTTTGGTTGAAATATGCAATACGATTTTACTTTCACTACTGTTAGCTATCCATTTTATAAATTCACGCATATATTTTTGTTATTTGTTGATGTTTACATTCTTGTTTATAATGTCAATGATTATTAACCAGAAGCATGCAATTTAAAATTGGCTAGTTTAATAACTGACTTTGATTCCATTATAATAACCTGTTATTGATCAAAGTTAATCAAGAATAATTTGAACAACAAATAAAGTATCAGTATACTCACCTTCTAAGGATTCCGAGTCTTCAGACTCGTCGTTTTCCTGTGTATCGTATAAGGAAATGTGCCACGTTCCGCCGCACATCTCGTCCTTATTTCCAGGACATTTAGCTGTACACTCTGACCCTTTTGGATAATCTGTTATATTATTCCCACAGAAACATTGGTCCGTGTACTGAAAAATGTAGTGAAGTTTTAGAAAATACTATTTCTTATGTAATTAAAACCAGGCGGAGATTCGGGATTTTTCTCCAGAATGTGTCACAAAATTTCGACGTGATAATGCATTAACCAAACTGAGGGGTTTTGGCATTTTGAATCATTTCCAGAGGGTGTCAGGCGTAAAAGTACTACGTGATCACTTTAAATCTTAGTGAAAGACCCCTTTAATGTTCTTCTGGTTCTGAGCACGGATTCATATCTAAGATATTTAGTTTCACCACTTGCAACTAGTAATCTAGTAATATATTTGCCGAAAATTTTAATTGTCTTTTAAAATAGTATTTTAACATACGATGATAATTTTCAAATATTCAAAAGGTCCACATTCCGTATAATATAATGTCACCATCATTAACAATTATCATATAAGCTACTTCATACTTATCTACCTCTGTTCCAGCATATCTGTATCCCGCAGCCTCGCATCGTTGTTTGCACTGATCTCCAGTGTTGTTTGCGAAATTTGGCATTCGGTGAGACAAAATGCGTTCGACTTTGTCTATATAGCATCCGAGGTAGCCCGATGGTACATAAACTGATTGTGATATAAAAGAACAGACAAGAAATTTAAATTATAAGACAAGGAGCTCATAAATTTTTTGTGAACGTTACATGTTTGGTTTGTGCACGCTCTTGTTTTACTTGAAATATGCAAGAAATGGAGACTGCATAATATTACGATATTACTTTTACTGCTGTTACCAAAATCCATTTTAGAAATTCACTCAGAAAAACTAGAAGCATGCAATAAAAAAAGGCTAATTTAATAACTGACTGTTTTTTTCATTTTAAGTTCTTGTTATTGATCAAAATTAATCAAGAATAATTTGAACAACAAATAAAGTATCAGTATACTCACCTTCTAAGGATTCCGAGTCTTCAGACTCGTCGTTTTCCTGTGTATCGTATAAGGAAATGTGCCACGTTCCGCCGCACATCTCGTCCTTATTTCCAGGACATTTAGCTGTACACTCTGACCCTTTTGGGTATTCTTTTATGACGTTTCCACAGAAACATTCGACCGTATACTGAAAAGTGTCGAAAAATTTTCGCAACACGTATATACCATGCTATTATCTTAATTTGCCCTGACATTAAAATGAGAAAATCAGTCACTATATATCTAATGGATGTGGTTGTAGCAACAATTAAACATGTATTATTCACATTTACAATTATAACTCATATTACATTTGCGCAAAAATAATATAAGATAATTGTCATTCATGATACCTCTGTATATAATAGTTTGATACTTGTCAATATAAGGTGACTTTTAAATTCATTGGGCCGGATGTAAATGTTGTTAATTATCATATCATTAATATTACATATGTCACTATAATAAATAAATTTCTTATCTTATCTTAACTTACCATATCTTATGTTATACGCATGCATGATAGGTTTTACAATAGACAAGCAACACATAATGTTCATTAAAATAAAGTAATGACACATGAACAAATATTTATTTATCAGTAATATAACCTCTGTTCCAGCATATCTGTACCCGGAGGTCTTGCATTGTTTCTTGCACTGGTCGCCCGAGTTGAGTGCTGAATTAGGCATTCTGTGAGATAGAATGCGGTCAATCTTATCTATGTAGCATCCGAGGTAACCCGATGGAGTATAAGCTAAAACATATATTGTTTAAATATGTTATGATTCTTACACATCATTGCTAAGGTAGATTTATCTCTATTTGTTACAAGATGCTAAACCAGGGGTAAATACTGAGTGAACAGGTAAAAGTCAAAATAAGTTTTCATTTTTCATTCAAGTTAATAATGTTTTTGCATAAACGATAAATTACAAAGGCGGCCCATAGAAATTACTGTAAAATAAACACCAACGTTCAGTTTATAAAAAAAGAGCGGGTAGTCTTTTTATATTTTAGGCATATTAATATTTAATCATGTACATTTTCCAAAACAAATTGTTGGCCAAGCATCATTCTAACAGTCAATCTTTTTTTATATGTAGTCAATTCAGCTCAATTTGACAAAGAAACAATGGACAATTGTTACTTTAATTATCTCAATATTTGAAATCATCATATATAAATATTTCTAAAACTGTTGTTATTGTTTTAAATTCAATTTAATGCCGCTTACAATACTTTTTATATGAAACTTTCAAAACAACAAAAAAAAAACAACAAAAAACAACAACAACATTGTTGCAAGACCATACTGTAAAACAAAAATATTTGAATTAACTTTACTTCTTTTAAATATGTTTGAGTTTGACATATTTTGTTTGATGGTTCTATTTACACTTGAATAAGATTAAGATTAATTAAAAACATAAATTTAATTATAAATTTTATGATGCCTTGTGAGTATCATTAATTGGTACCTTTGTTGAAATTCCAACAGTTCATAAAGAACATTAGAAAAAGAACTTGTGCTAAAACTTCCATTGCAGATGTACCAAGCTCAGCTTAATTATATTCAAATTACGTAAGCAAGTGTTCTTTCTACTTAAATTTGTTAAAATATATATACAAACTCAAGGAAGAAGGAAGAAGGAATATTATTCAAAATGTCAAAACAGATTATAAACAAAGGATTAAGATCTTCTTTTTGATAACATGTTACAACAAAATTGCGTTCTAAGTGTATTTCATAGATGAAAAGATGAAAAAACATAAAAAAGCAAAAAGGAGTGTCAGAAATTTTTCAACTGATAAACCGAAATCTATATTTCAATCTTAAGATGTTTTTGTTATTCTTTTTGTACGACTACTTTGTGCAAATTTCAAAATTAAGAAAAAGTCCCTTGTAAAGTATCAATAAGCGAAGTACTTCTTCTATTCATCGTTGTATCTATAATATAAAATTATTGTTTAACTATCCGTCTAAAGATATTTATATATACTTGCATACCATAAGAAAGCATTCTAACAATATGTATTATTGTAATTTATTATTTAATTATTACTGCATTTACATCTACATTAATATCTAAATCCTCCTTTTTAGGCCCCATCTCGGGTTACCCCGTAATAGGTACGAGGGGTCGGGGTTATACCCCGTCATACCTTACATCTATAATATACAATGTACATGTACATATAACATAATTATTGTGTTAATGTAAATAATAGCTTTTGATGAAACACACTTCTATACATGTACATAAATATGAACATACATACAGTAAACGCATCTATTTTTAAAACTATTTTGTTAACAAACAGACTACTACTGTTTATTTTTTATCATACGAAAAATGAATATTAATTAGTATAGTTTACAGTTTTATTCAATCAAACTTAACATCAAAATATTCCCAGATAATTAATAAGATTGATGAAATATGGCCACTTAAATGACAGGGAATGCCGTAAAGTAACTGTCAGTTGACGTTATATTCTATCAGCTGAGAGTTAAAGCGAGAATCAACTCAATGTATGCAAATAACTTGCAAACCAAATAGCAAACACTGTACAAATGGTATAATCAGCAAAACTATTACGAATAAAGCAAGCTAGACTCACGGGAAAACAAAAGCAAGCGTAACAGTAACAAGGCAAGCTAGGATTGCCAGACTACGGGTCATTTGGGCAAAACCTAGAAACGCAACTTGACTTAGCGCACAGTACTCCAGGCCTGATATATGACCAAAGCTAAAACTATGAATGACATGTTATGAAAACTAGTCGTATTTGCTCCTTAACCGACGGCAATGAGGATATGATACCGCCACCGATATCGGAGAAGATAAAATTCAGCAAAATACATGTAGGAAGTATTAGCAAATGAAACTTTATGACACAATATGCAATGAAGCTTTTGGTTCGCCTGATTAACTCTCAGCTAACAGAATTTTTCCGCTGTAAGTGACTAACTTAAAATGAGTGTTGCAAAGACGTAATACTAATTAATGTAGTATGAATAATGTAATATGAATAATATAAGATACCAAGCTATTTAAAGAACATTATAACTTGAAAAGCCTGTAAAACATTTGTATTAAAAAGCTGATTACAACTTTCAAGTATTTTAAAAAGATAGAAAGAACAAGATTTACGACACTGACATTGTCTTAAAAAGCACCTTTAAATGTCATATTGATAATGTTCATTTACAAATTCACATTTACACATAGGTTGATTCATGGAAATCTTATGCTGTATCCAATGAATTTTCTTGTTCTTTGCTCACAGGTATCACATATTTGATCTGACAGGATCTGAACACTGAAAAGATTAAACAGAACGCTGCAGAGCAAGAACACATATGTACAAGAAACATTTAAATAAGATCAAATATAAACGCTTCTTAACGCCAGTACTGTTGGGTGGGCGGGAAGGGAAAACTAATGATTGTACTTGTTTAACTGGCTGTAAGCTAGCTGTTCGACGAAAAGAGAGAGAAGCACGATTTTTAGACCAGGCAATACCTACGAAAAATGCCGAACAAATCCAAATAACCTACAACCATACCAAATTGTTCCGAATGCTATAAACATACAGATTTATTGAGAGCTTTGACGACAAATAACCGTATTTTCTTGAAAAATAAATGTTAGTAATGACAGTCGTAAATAATTCTTATTATTAAACAATTTATTTATCTGTTACAAGTTAAAGTTCTTTTTCACTTGTTTTTAGTGTAGTTTAAACTTTTAAAGATATGTCAATTGCCATCTATTATTTTCGCCTTCTGTCTGTTTGTATTTCCATGTATATTTCCCTCTATTTTTAAAACCAATACATGTAGATTAGACGTTTTCTTAGACAAATAAATATATCTTTTCAATTCTAAAAACACTATGTCATATTTCAAAATCCTTCACTTCCTAACCTAATATGTATGATTTACAACAGAAAACACCATCACAATTATGTAAGTTCCTCTCAGATATTAAAATATAATGCGACCACTTTAATATTGTAAATAATTAATAAAAGACTTTAGCCGTCTTAGTGTTTTAAATTATTTTTATAGTAAATATGTAATAAAAGACTTTAGCCGTCTTAGTGTTTTAAATTATTTTTATAAACAGTCAACTTACTCAATTTATTAACAGTTTGCCGATTAACTGAGATAAATATGTTACTGTTCATTTGAAATACTGCAATCCTATAGACCTTTTTACAATACGATTTTCCATAGCAACGATGTTGCATTTCGCGCATGCGCATTCTGCGTAAGGCAAAAAGCAATAACGATGCCTACAGTTTATCATACTTTAAGGCTTTAATAGATACGATTTCATGTCATGTCACCCAATAAATATTAATTTTGGGATGACTTAAGGCGGTAAGTACTGAAAACGTGAATTTATTTTTAACAGGTCTACGAAAATGTGCGGGAGTTCAAGTACGTGCAGACACATGTCTTTCTTTAAGGTATCATTAGACGACTTTTCCATCAGTAATTTAAATTGAAACAGCAGGGTGTTAAAGATAAAATTTAATTACCCCTGTATTACATAATATTACACAATTTGTATTGTACACTTCCTTTGAATAACTGGATTGGTCAGGCGGCAAGTGTCAAACACGCGGACGTTTGTTCATTCAACCGGGACGTTTAAATATCATGATGTAGTTAATCAGTAACGCTTATTAAAATGGTAATTTATGTAACTTTTAAATTTATGGATTTTGAGAAAAGAAAAATTGTATTATTAAAAATAACATCTATTACGAAGAAGCGGATAAAATGTGTGTTATATCTTTTCCAAACAACACATCTTAACTTCTCAAGATTTTGAAAAAGAAATAATTATTTAAAATCTATTGATGTGACTTAAAATTTTCTGTTTGTATCACAAGCAAATCGGATAAAGGATATAATCAGGTATATTGAACACTAAAAATGCATTATCACCTGTTCTGATATTTTTCTGAATGATAATTAATCTCGATTTCATGTAATATAATTTCTTTTGTTTTAAATGAACTATTTCAACAGCAAATAAGTTGACTTTTCATTTGCTAATAGATATATTTCCACATCTTCTTTAAAAAATGATCTCAGTGTCAGGTCCGTGAACGGCAATTCTTAAACAAGTATCTTTTATATGCCTTTTTATGGCATTCTTCGCTACAAAGCTATAAAGTCATCTTTTCTACATTTGTTGAAAGCTATTTTATATAATTTTCTACCGTTTACCTTGTATCTATGATTTTCTACTATATTTCTATGTAGGGCGAAGCATTTTTTGCCCTACGCAGATTGCGCATGCGCGAGAAAATTCTAATTCCAGCCGATTTTTCATAGCAACGGACCGCGTCGTAAAAAGGTCTATTGGACAAAAAATAATTTCAAACACTAATATCTTTTAAACAGTCAATTTACTAGACTGATTAACAATTTGCCGTTTTTCAAAAGTAAATGTGTTACTATTTATTCGAAATACTGCAATCCTATTGGATAAAAAATAATTTCATACAATAAGGCTGCGTTCCAGTCGCTGTTCGGAATGTAACGAACTGTCCGGTACAAAATAGAACGACACAGAACAGTGTCCGGAACATGTCCTGACTGTACCCAGGGAATAGCTGGTGCAACGAGCACAGTGACGTCAGAAACATGGCGACTTTCGTCTTCAAATGTGGAGCGTGGGACCTTTTCTTTGCCACATTGTCTGCCATGCAGACCCATCTATGTAATCGTACCTTGTGCTCAGAAACTGCATGTAAGAAGTTTACGTTTATTATAAAATAATCAAGTGAACTCGTGCCGAAATAGTGCATACCAACAGGTTCGATTATTTGCATGTTTTTTCATTTCATTGTAATTAAATATCACATTCAGAAAAAGAAAAAACACTTACTTTATAAAATATAAGTCATATTCGGTATCTTCTATTCTTCACGGATATGATTTTTATATAAAAACCCCAACAAATATAACTTATAACTTTTTTAAATATGGACCAAATTTAACGATATTTTGCATGTAAAATCATTTTATTGTTATAAAACACCGTATCAAGAAAAGTTAATAAAAAAAAATCAATTTATAAAATATAAGTCTAGATAAAGTATCAAAGTGCAACAATTACCGATATGGTCAATAAAAAGTTTCATATTAATTAAGTGAAATACTGTACAAATAAAATTGTACTGTATGCATTAATATGAAAAGGTGTAACGTTTCGACATTTTTACTTAGCTTGTTTTGATTAAAGATTATCATTTACTCAAATGATATTAGTGTTACTATACTCTTTATGTTATTTGTTTATATTGCGACAATATATTTTAGTTTACGGTACTTTATAATATACGTTTGGTATACGTATTTTCAATAAACGTTTGATATCTTCTATAATACAATAATCGTCTCAGTGATTATTGATCATTCTAATCAGCAATGAAAATAAAGTCATGCTTGCAGCGATCATTTCAGCAGGTATTAAATACGGCGATTAGAGCAAAATTTAATCAGTAGGGGCCTCCGTGGCCGAGTCCGTTAAAGTCGTTGACTTGGGAGATCACAGGTCCCTCACCACTGTAGGTTCGATCCTCAC